GAGAGCGGCTGTATGCCAAAGTTGTTTCTAAATTGAACCAAAATCCTAAGGGATGCATTGAACAAACTATTAGAGGTATAATGTTTATAGTTCACAATTGTAAAGACAACTGTGACAGGGTTTTCATGAAGTTGGAAGCCAGCTCCATGTTGACAGACAAGTTCTCTTTACACAATCTCCTGATTTTACATGTTAGGCAGAAATTTGGTCCAGCTGTGGCTTGATAAACTAAACCAAAATATAAAACTGCTACTCTGGTGAAAGACAAAATGTAAATAATATTTCCTTCCCGTTTTCCTTTAATAACTGAAATTTCCGAACCCATTCTAATATTCACTCTAGTTATATTTGCCTAACATCAAAATAGTTTTTTTTTTTATTGAACTTTATGTTCAGAATGAGGTTATAGACACACTCTATGAAAATATTCAAAATCTCAGGCAAGCTTTTCAAGCTGAGAATACTCTTTGACGTTTCCTTTAAAAACATCAAATTAAATACACCAAAGAGGCAAAGGATGTCCATGGTCGCTGCATCAAGACTTTATCAGCATCATGTACCTGAAACTTGTAAGGCCTGTGGACTTAATTTGAATTTGCTTTAGTGCATTAGATAAACAGTGTCTTTCAGATTTTTCTCTCTTGTTGTTCTTGCAGATGATGCCTGTGGCAAGTGATTAATCTGTTTGTGGCATTTCTTTAAGAAGCTCGCCATCCGTGACATCAGCAGGACACAGTACTGGATTTCACTCATATAGCCCCGAGCAAAAAGAGACATAAAAGAGAAGCGTTCTGTCTACACTCACACACCACTCAGCAGAAGCAAGGCTCATTATCATCAGCTTGTTTACTCCTTTATTCTTAACTTGCTAATAATTAACACTTCAATAAACCAACAACCTTTAAGGTTTAAACAAGTAGCTTGCATCTTTTTGAAGAAATATGTTGCCCCTCTTCTGAATGATTTATAAAGTGTGCTGTAATGCAGCATTGCCCAGCACTTTATGAACAACATCACCACCTGGTGGAAATAGGCATTAAAAAGCCTCACGCTCTGAGGCAGCTTCATCCCAAAGCAGTACGACCAGATCTGCCACATGCTGTGCATATCTACATTAATTAAAGCGTAGCCGATTTAAATCATCTAAGTTATTCGAAACTCACTTCAAAGAGACTTATTGTCGGGACAGACAAAAAAAAGCAGGCATTAGGATTTGTCCGATGTATTATTGCCCTTCACCGCAGATAGGAGCAGCTAGATATCTTTCTATTTTCACAGTAAATCCTCTCACACATTTATTATGCTGCCAAGCAGCTTTTCTTCTCTGACCTTCAGCCTATTTTTTCAAAGCAGGAAAAGTTCCCTCATCTATCAAAAGGGGCCCAGCATCTATGACAACATCCAGGGCATGGCTCAGACCAAAGAGGGAGATGCCACCTATACTCAGGTCCTGCAAATGATTAGCTGGCCTCATTCATCCATCATGCTTGAAACTGAGACATCAAAACAATAAAACCCTTTTTACTTGATGAATAAAGCGAAATCTAATGGTTTAGATGTGTCCCCCTTACATGCAACATTGCATGAGGGGGACACATAGGGGGTGGGCATAGAGGATAAGAAGCCATTTAAACGGATGCATTGGGTTATGTGCTCTTGAACCGTTTGGTTTCCAAAAAGTTATAGAAAAGGTTGTGTAAAATTAAACAAAAGACCCCGTACTTAGACCATCATAATATTTGGGGTTTTAAGTTGTTTATTTTATACTTGACCTTTAGCTTTTAACACATACCATGTGATTTTGGTAAAAAACAAAACAAAAAACAGAAATGTATGTAAATTTGGTGATTGGAGTTGCTTTGGAAGTTAATGCTTTGGTCTTGGCCCTGACTCTTAGCTTATTAAAGGTATAGTGGAAAGCGTGCAAGATCATGCAAGATCCAATTTCTCCTCGTGCATGCTCTGTTTAAAAGTTGCTGCTTGCATCGCTCTTACAAGCTTTCCAAAAGATTTTTTTTTTCCACTATATTAGACTCACCCCCGGTAAGTAAGAATGGGTATGAGCACGTAGGACAGCCTTACATAAACATATCACCAGAATGATTGACAACTAGGAGGACCACTAACTTTGACGATCAACCCAGAAAATGAGCATCCTCCACTATACATTTATGCCTCGGGGAACAGCTAATGGGTTTATACTGTCTTTAAGGACCATGAGGGTTAGCTGCTGCATTGAGGTAACGATTTTGACAGTCCTACTTGGAAAGTCCTGTATTTTCCCTTAATTGCTTGCTTGCAAAAAAAAAATTGTGATTACATTAGTTTAGATTTATTTCAAAATATGAACTTAAGACTAAAGTGAGTCTCTTAGGCCTACAGAGTAAAATCACATTATAAGGTATTTATTTTACTTCTGGGTTTCCTTTAAACAGATAGCTTAAAATTTTCTCTGCTTTTTTTTATCTCAATGTCTTCACATTTCATTGATTTTTATTAACTAGATTCCAACGTTTCTCGATGCAAAGTTAAAAAAAGGTTGTAAAACAATAAAAACATTACCTGATTTTTTTCAGATTCCTTTCACAGCAAGCTGCTGTAACTGTGGCAAAAAAAAAAAAAAAATTTTTTTAGGTCACTAAAAATTGCCTGACCCTCAAAAAACTTGACTAGAATCCCCAGTGGAGAAACTGAGATGGCAAAGAGCTTCAAATGTCCAAGCATAATGGACAATCTACAGAAAACCCGCCCAGAACAGCGCCAGCAGACACGCTTAGTTGTCTGTTAACTCAAGGTCCTCTCTGCAGCCAGCAGGCTTCTCTGCCTGTTTAGACGACTCATGGAGTCTGTCCTCTTCTAATTATCCTTCGCTGCTCCATCTGCCGTTTCACCGTGCCGACAGTCTCCAGCAGCCACAGTTACTTCTTACATCAGTAGTCTTTCAGCACTCTCACAGACATCAAAGTTGCTGCAGTCGTGCAAAATGAAACTCCCTATTCATATAATGACCGTGAAAACCCTCATTTGGACAATGTGTCACTATGTGTCAGCCAAGTTGAAGGTGCTAAAATATATAAAGCATAGATTTATTCAGCTCTAATCTTAAAGTAAAATATTTGTAATTACGCATTTGGCTTGATTTTATATGTGCATTTCAAGCAATGTTTATCATATTGTTATTATTTTACTGACGAGGCTCATTTGCAATATTACGGCTCTTGCATTATTCCTTAGTTTGGTACTAACATTTTCTCTTTGTTGAGTTTTCCTCCTCGGCCATTCCTTGGGATGAACAGTTTAAATGCATGACACTTTAACCCAAATTTTTGTTTAGAAAAACTCAAATTGTAATTGTATTTTATTATGATTATTTGAGATTGATCTACAGAAACGCATGACTTTGAAGTTAAGCGAAACAGAAACTGAAAATGCTGCATGTACTTGTATCAAAAATACATTGTGCAAACAAACGTTGCTTCAAATTTCAACCACAAATTGTTAGGGATGTTTCTGTAGCTGTTTGATCTTGTTTTTGTTGTTGTTATTTCTTACAAAATAAATTGATCATTATAAGATCAGATGGTAAGCATTTGTTAACCATCACTGCCTCAGTCCATAGGGTTTAGCAACCTTTAAGACGTTTTCTTAAGAGATACACTTTTATTTAGCTCCATGTTTACGAACACCATCAAATATTAAAGTTTCCACTGTAGCATAAAAAAGAAGAAAAACTACAGATACTTATGCAAGACTCTATTGTGATTGTAGTTAAATATAGTGTTGATGTTGCACAAATACTTTTGTTATGGGAATGATAAATAAAGATGTTAAAGTTTAAACATGTTTCTATTAGATGTGCATATATTCAGTTTTAGACTGCAGAGTTGCTATACAAAACCCTCATTAAAAAAGCCTGTGCACAGCGGGCTAGGTTGTGCTGAAAAATATATTCAGATCTGTCATTTTGTATTACTGAACATTACTGCACACCCTATTATGAGTCAGTGGTGCACTGGATAGTCTGTCCATTGAGCTCTTACTCTAAATTCAGTTTGGAGGAGGTGTGCTCCTTCTATGAAATTATATTTGAAATCCTTTCATTTCCTATTATTTGGCTCTGAAAGTGTATCGAGCTATAACTACACGAACCACTTTAATGCAAATCTCATGGAGAGCAAGCTGATAGTGAGAAATGAGTGATCAGGGCTGATAAAAATGGGATGAGATGTCTCAGCCCTCCAGGCATGTAGGTGTGGACCATTTTAACTCCTCACTCTCTGAGTGGTTCTTGCTACTTACTGTACAGCCTGGGGTGACAACATTCATTATAGTGATGAGGGGGTCAATGCACAACAGCCAGAACAATGGGGGAAATCAGCTTTTCCTCATGCTCGCTGCCTTGAACAGAAGCACAACCAAGCAAAGACCTGTGATTAATTTAATACACACTGGTGATTTGCCCTTTAATTTGCATGCACAACACTCATGCATGTTAATCAAGAATGGCCAGAAAACACTAGAGCAGCTTAACCTTCGGTGACTGTATGGCTCTGGGCTCCTGTAGAAAGCTATTGTCCATGTGTCTCTATTATCGTGCTGGTCACGGTTCTTAGGCACTGCCCCTCGCTCATATGGGAGATATCTGTAGAATAATTCTACCTGTCTGTTTCTATCACCTTATCCTTCCTTCTCTACCTCCCTCTTCCAAACCTGACCTTTCTGCATCCCTCACTAGCTGACCTTGGAGTCCTTTTACCACTTTTCTTTTTCATTCTCACAACAGTAGCTACTCTCCATCACATTCCCCTCCAACCACCCCATGCCCCCGTTTCCAGCCCCCGCTGATTGCCTTGACTCTCTCAGTGTGTCCCCTCGGTTACGCCCCCTGGATCACTTGCCCTCCTCTCTCCTCCTCCTGCTGTCTCCTTCTGTGCTCTCTGCATCTGTACATACTCTGCTTTTTAATTAGACCGACTAGGCATAGCTCCACCTCCCTCTGCCTCCTCTACTCTCCATCCAGCCCCTTGCTTCGCCTCCTGCTCCCTCCCTCTTTTTTTTTTGCAAGGATACGGACTCGCATGGCGATGGAGAGAGGTCATGATGGAGAGATGCGGAGAGAAAGAAGCGGGGGAGAGGAGAAAGGGAGAACTGAGAGGAGCATCTGAGAGTGTAACTGCCTGTTTGCTCACTCTTGTCTTCTTGCTCCCCCTCCTGTCCTTTCACTTCCACTCACAGCACAAACACTCAGACAACTAGGTAGGCTCAGTGCAGCGCAGAGCTGTGAGGGATGGAGTGCAGGGTTCCCACGTGAAAAAAGCCACGAATCCACAGGAGAAGAAGAGGGCAAGATAGAAGAAGACAAACGGAGAAGGAAAAAGAGAAGAGTTGGGGAGCAGGTGGACTCAAGAGAAGGAAGAATGAGAAGCTTATCGAGCAGCGGTGACAGAGAGGTGAGGATGAAAAGCAAACACAAGGGATGGAAGAATGGGGAGGAAGCAACATGAAGGAATAACAGAAGAGGAGCAAGCACTAGTGTGTGTGTGTGTGTGTGTGTGTGTGTGTGG